TGACTGCCTGCATGCCACCATGTTCCTTGTCATGATGATAATGGACTGAACCTCTGAAACTGTAAGTGAGTCCCCAATTCAATCTCTTCTTTATAAGAGTTGCTGTGATCATGTTTCATCACAGCAACCTAACTAAGGCAGTATGGCTACCTTAAAAAATAAATAAATAAAGGAAATCTCTTTAAAAACCTGTATGAGGCTAAACCAAAAAAAAAAAAAAAAAAAAAAAAAAAAGAAAGAAAGAAAGAAAAGCCAGGTGTTGGTGGCACATGCCCTAATCCCAACACTCGGGAGGCAGATCTCTGTGAGTTCAAGGCCAGCCTGGTCTCCAGAGTGAGTGCCAGGATAGGCTCCAAAGCTACACAGAGAAAACCTGTCTAAAAAAACCAAAAAAAAAAAAAAAAAAAAAAAAGAAAAAAGAAAAACTTGTCCAAGGCCACATGAGTAGGAAGCCAGGCTGAACATCTAAAGTCCATGGACACAGTTATGAGCTCTGCCATGATGGCCCTTGTTACATTTCCTTAAGCACATTCCTATGCTGTGTGAGCATAGCATTGTATGCTAGCAGTCAGGATTGTGCAGGCTTTTTTTGAGCCATTGTTGAGGAGTTTGACTAATGATAACTCTTTAGCATGCTCTTTTTTTTTTTTTTTTTGTTTTTCAAGATGGGTTTCTCTTTGTTGCTTTGGAGGCTGTCCTGGAACTCACTCTGTAGACCAGATTGGCTTCCAACTTACAGAGATCGGCCTGCCTCTGCCTCCCGAGTGCTGGGATTAAAGTCTCATGCCATCAACACCTGGCTAGCATGTTCTTGCTAGACTGGAATGTCCAGAGGTCTTCTGAGTGTAGCTCTTTTGTTTTCAAGTTAAGGTTGAGAATTTAGGTTTGAAAGTTAACAGTGAACCCAACCCTGGACAAGGCAGGATTTTTTTCCTATTTGGAGGTGGACAGAATTCTTTTTAAATCTCTCAGGGCTGGTCTCAGACTCCTTCCTGATCCTCCTGCTTTAGGCTCGTAAGTGCTGGAGTTTACAGGCACATGCTGTCAAACTTAGTCAGTCCAATGCCTTTCTTTTTATATTTATTTACTCATTTATTGTCTGTGGCAAGTGGATGAGGATACATGCATCTAGAGACCTTATCCCATCGAGACAGAGTCTCTCTTCCTCACTGAACCTGGCATTAGGCTAATAACTTTCTGTCTGAAGACACATTCACTATCTCCAGCCCCCGGTTAAGCCATCACCTTCGTAGTGGGAATCACATGTATTGAGTGATTAAAAAACCTCGTTTGTCCATCCTTGGCAAAGTCAGGCACCATCAGGCACGTGTTCTTTGTATTGTTCGATTATTCACTGCCTTACCATAAATTTAGTTTGGAGTATGTTCCTCAAATTGCTTGGGATTTTCCAGAGTTGGCTGAATTTATTTAAATGTAAACACAGGAAATGCAGTCACAATTGATTCCTCAGGTACAACTTATTTTGAAATTACTGTGTATACAATGGCTTCAACAACTTCTAAATCATGAGCAAAAGAAAAATTACTCCTGATTGCTGCCACTGAATCTGAAATGTGTTTTGGATTCTTGCTTGGTTGAATTCATGTATTCAATAGATATGGATGGACAAATGGTCTACCTCTGATCTTGTGTAATGGCATCATTTAATTCGAGCTTAAAGAGAACATAAAAAACAAAAGGGCTCACACTCAAAGTCTCTTGGCAGTCCTTCAATACATTCATTGAATTTCCACATCTGGTGGAAGGAATTACTCAACGTTTTCTTATCATGTAATATGTAATATCAGAGACTTGACAGATTCATGTAGTTCTTTTTTTTTTTTTTTTTAAGATAGGGTATCATTATGTAGCCCTGGCTAGCCTGGTACTCAATATGTGGCTTAGGCTGGCCTTGAACTCACAGACAGAGCTCTGCTTGCCTCTGCCTCCTGAGTGCTGGGATTAAAAATTTACACTATCTAACCCAGCATGAAGACATTTTTCACTGATATAAGAACTCTTTTACTTTTACTAATGATAATGTACAAACAATACTATTATAACTTATTACTATTTATTAATTTTTAAGTTAGCATAAAAAATGATAAGTTTAATTATGGAATATGTATTTTGTTTTTGTTTATATTTTTCCTACAAGGGATCCCCATTCCTTCTGTCCTTGTCTTGCATGTCTCTTACTCCTTCCACAAACTAGACTCATCTTCCATTGTCTGCTGTCCCCACCTTTCCCAATAATATTATTCTATAAATTTTGTATATGTGGCCAGATTTTATTTGCTGCTTAGAAAAATTTCCTGAAGTATTCTTGAAAGAAAATTGGCTCATGCAATTAGGTACCATTTTATCTGTGAATAGAAAACCCCAAATCTGATAATTCTTACCTGATCAACTGTGACTGAAATTTTATCTCAAATAGTTTGCTGATTTTTTTTTTTTTTGAGACAAGAGTTTCACACCATTAGCCTAGGTTTTTTTTTTTTTTTAATCTCCTAGCTATATACTTTCTTGAATGTAATCCCACTAGGTTATTCCCTTCACTTTCCAAACACACACACATCTACTTAGCTCCTGTCCCTAGTGCACTTAAAGTGTTCATGAGTGACGAGCACTGTGGGGCATCTTTCCGGGGTTGCTTTTTTACACCCTAAGGTGGAGCCAGGAAAGCCTGATGTTCTCATCAGACTTAGTCACCAGGTGAATGTGCTGCCCAAGAGCTCAGACCATATCTGCCATTAGTCTGTTCCTGGCTCTTGTCCCTTCCCCCTGGTCCACTCAGCCCTGAGCTCAAGGGCACCGTGCATGTGGACAGCTTTCTGCAGCCCTCCTTGAGTGTAGGACGGGAACAGCAAGGAGTCAAGGTGTTGGTTACCAGCCGCTTTCAGCCTCTTTACATCCCTTTAAAAGTTAGAGGTGCCTGCTTTCTGCTTGCACAAGCTTCTTGTAGAGTTTCCCCAAATGCTTGGTTTGTGTCTTTTCATGGTGATCAATTTTCAACATATACATTTTGGAGCTGTTTTTAAAAGTGGAAGCACCCTGAACCCATTACATGTTGGGAACACCTTTGTCATCATTTTTAAGCTGGAAAGGAGGCTTTTTTTTTTTTTTTTTTTTTTTAACCTGGCACCAACAAAAAGAAAATAGAACATGCCAAACACTTCCTCTGAATGGAATTGGGTGCCTGTGCGTGCACTTTGACACTGGGCCATGCTCTCAAGTCTTCAACACTGCTTTCTGAGTTACCTAAGTAACAAATTTGTTGTTTTTGAGACAGGGTTTCCTTGTGTAGCTTTGGAGCCTGTCCTGGAACTAGGTCTTGTAGACCAGGCTGGTCTTGAACTCACAGAGACCTGCCTCTGACTCCCAAGTACTAGGATTAAAGGATTGTGCCAGCACCACCCAGCTAAAACTTGCTTTCTTTGAAGCTGTCCTGGAACTCCCGGCTCTGTAGACTAGGCTGGCCTCAAACTCACAGAGATCCACCTGCCTCTGCCTCCCGAGTGATGGGATTAAAGACGTGTGCTACCAACACCCCGAAGACTTTCTTTGAGAAATTGGAGCCTCTTTTTGCTAAGATAATTGACCCAATGAGTGTACCTTCAATATTCTAGCAGGCATGTTCAACCCATGGCCTTAAGACTGCTTATAGCTGGGGACGGCTATGAATGAGGTCCCTTCCTGTGTGGCTTCCATATAGTACTCAGTAGTGATCAATAATATTGCTCAACTTTTTGTTCTTATACATAAATCCAGTCACTATAAGTGGTGTGTTTATATGTACTTAATATATCAACTATGGAATTTCCGAGCATATTTTTAGTTACATTAATTTAAAATAGTCTCGCTCAATTCATATTGAGCTTATCAGGTGGGTTTGAGAAATAATCATGCTGTTTATTTTAACCATTTTCTATCTTTTATTCATATGTGTCTTAGTTAGGGTTTCTGTTGCTGTGAAGACCATGACCATGACAACTCTTATAAAGGAAAACATTTAATTGTAGATGCTTGCTTACAGTTCAGAGGTTTAGTCCTTCGTGGTGCTGGAGAGGTGGCTGAATGTCCTTCATCTTGGCTTCCAGTCAGCAGGAAGGGGTCATCTCAATGGGTGTGGCTTGAGTATATGAGACCTCAATGCCCATCTCCACAGTGATACACTTCCTCCAAGACCACACACACACACACACACACACACACACACACACACACACACACGCCAAAAAGCCACACCTGCTAATAGTGCCACCCCTTTGGAGCCCATTTTCTTTCAAACTTCCAAAGTGTGTGTAGTGTCTTCATGTATGTGTGAGTACAGGTATGGGTGCAGGTGCAGGTATGGGTGTGTATGTGTGTACGTGTGCGCACTCACGTGCACTTGAGCAGGTGTGCATACTTGTGGATGCTGGAGGACAAACTCAATTACTCTCCATCTGTTTCTTGAGATAAGATCTCTCACTGATTCATCTAGTCTAGCTGGCTAGGCAGTGAGCCCCTCAGGATTACACGTGTGAGATACCACACCTAGATTTTCCATGTGGGTGCTGGGAATTGAGTTCAACAAGCACTTTACTGACAGATCTTCTCCCTAGCCCTAAATGTCATCCTTTTTTGGTAGAAAAACAAATTTTAGGGTTTTGTTTATTTGTTTATGTTTGTTTTTTGAGACATGGTTTCTCTGTGGCTTTGGAGGCTGTCCTGGAACTAGCTCTTGTAGACCTGGCTGGCCTCAAACTCACAGAGATCCGCCTGCCTCTGCCTCCCAAGTGCTGGGATTAAAGGCGTGCACCACCACCGCCTGGTAATTTTAGGTTTCTTTACAGCTCAAACTAAAAATACTTTAGAACAACTTCAGGTGACACTGTTGAAATTCAGTGTATTAACACCTAGGAAGTTCAATATGAAATGGACCAGTTATCTGTCCAGGGGTTGGAATTGAAATTCCTTTTGAAATAATTCAGAAATTTTATTTTGTTCCTTCTCAGTGACACAGGAACCACACCTCCAGAGAGTGGTATTTTTGGATTCATGATAAACTTCTCTGCATTTCTTGGTAAGTACACGATTATTATGAGGAATTTAGTCTTATGTGAAATAAAATGTTATAGTTTGTGTACTTTACAAAAAAGTACATTTTTTTTGTTTGTTTTTTTCAAGACAGGGTTTCTCTGTATTGCTTTGGAGGTTGTCCTGGGACTCACTCTGTATACCAAGCTGGCCTCGAACTCACAGAGATCTCCTGCCTCTGCCTCCCAAGTGCTGAAAAAGCACATGTTTTTGTAACTAGCATTTTGCACTACTTTGTGCATGTTAGAGTATGTTAAAAAATCCCAAATTATGTATAGCCTCATTATAGAACTAAACTTTATCTGGTAATCTGACACAGGGTTTGCAAGAGGTAGTTTTAAATCCCAAACTTCTGACATGGAGTTAATATTTTTATTTTATTTAAGATTTATTTTTATTATTTGTGTGTGTGCATGTTGGTGATTAATTTTAACTATTGGTGTGTGTACACAAACATGCATGTGTCAGTGCCCTTGGGGGCTAGAAAGAGGAAGTCAGATCTCTTAGAGTTACAAGCATGTTATTTTATTTTATTTTATTTTTTTGACAAGACCTTCTATGGTAAGTTACAAGCATTTGTAAGACCTCAGTGTAGGTGCTGGGATCTTAAGTTCAATCCTCATGACAGAACAACAAGATTTCTTAACTGGTGAGTCATCTCTAGCCCTAAAATGGATTTTCAGTGTAATTTAGTTTTAAAAAACTTATTTGTATCACAATACTTGGGAAGCAGAGGCAGGCGAATTTCTGTGTTTGAGGCCAGCCTGGTCTACAGAGAGAGTTCCAGGACAGTCAGGGCTACACAGAGAAACCCTGTTTCCACCCCTTCCTGCCTAAAACCAACCAACAACAAAAAGTCAACACCAACAACAAAAAAAGCCTTATTTGTAGCCAAGGCGCTTGTGTAGTTCCTTGCATAAGGCGATGTCTTAAAATGTGTTCTGAGGGCAGCTTACCTGGAATCATCTGGGGTTAGAAGCATGTTCTGGAGCTACCTACAGATCCACTCAGTCAGGAATACATGGAGCCAGGGTGTAGATCTGTGACAGACCTCTTGCTTGGCATGTGGGCAGTACTGGGTTTGTTCCATAAATCCAAAACAAAACCATTTAGGGGACTTGGATGCTTTTTCCAGATTGGGAACTGCTGACCTCTGAGGAGAAATAGAAAAAGATAAAACGAGAGTAATTTTTATCTCAGGTGTGACTTTTTTTCCTTTTTCCATTTCTCAGAAGCCAGGCGGAAATAAATTATGGGATGCAATCTTGTCATGAGCCAATTAATTTCATGTACACTGATTTCAATTGCTTCATGGTTGATAAAGGTTTCTGTCTACTACTAGAGGATTGGAGGATATAGATGTCAGATGTGGGGCTCTCAACCCTCCTTTTATCCTCCGCCCAGTGGAACCACCAGGTCCCTTTGTATAACCAACACTCCTTCCCTCTCTGTTCAGTAGAGTAGGCCAGGAGGATTTCCTGGAACCCTTTTGAGTGACTGGGCAACTTTAGAATTTGTGCAATTTGGTAGAAAATTTCACTTGTTCACCCATTTGTAGGTGCTTCCAGCTGGGTTTGGAGGTGAGAACGGGGAAGGAGAGAGGGCCAGTCAGTTCCAATGCCTTTTTATGCATCTTTACCCAGCCCGACTTAGAATAAGTAATTGTTTGGCCACAATCAATGATAGGTTCAGGCTTTAGACACAATGCATGACATGAATATATCCAAATTTGAAATTGGGATAAGTGTTCAGTTTTAGCTTTTTCCCTTTCAAATAAAGTCTTGCTGTACAGCCAGGGCCACTTATACTTGTTGCGTAGACCAGAGGTTGCACAGAGCTTGCAATTCTTCTTCAGCCTTCTGAAAGCTGGGAGTACAGCCTTGTGCCATTGCCCCTTGCTAGCCAGCTTTTTATTTACTTAGTTTTTACTTTAAAAAATTTTCAGATAAGGTCTCTTCTAGGTTGCCCAGTGTGGCCTTAACTGTGTCAATACACACAAAGTTCACCTTATCATATTGAGGGCTACACATTTTACGCACTTTAAAAACAGACCAGAAGAAAAAAAGTTAATATTAACAGTAGACAGAAGCTTTCACCCCACATGGCCAGCTGGATCCTACATAGGTACATAAACATAACTAACCGTGTGTGTGTGTGTGTGTGTGTGTGTGTATGTATGTATGTATTTAACCTTAGAATACTGCTCTGAAAATGTGCCCCAAACTTACAAATCAGAAATGTTAATGGAGTATTATTTGTAATTGGAAACCCCAGGGGGAAAAGTAGAAATCCATCTATAAGAGAAGGGAGAAATAGACAGGATTTCACACACTGAAAAGGACAGTGTAGATTTATTTTGCAGTGACTTGGAAAATTCTTCATGGTACATTGTTAAGCCAGAAAAGCAAATCATAGAATAATTTGTGGAGTGCAATGCTCTTTACATGAAAATAGCCAAGGTAGGGATGTGTGTGTGTGTGTGTGTGTGTGCGCGCGCGCGCACGCGCGCATGTGCGTGAGTGCTCTCACTGCATGGGACAGAGAATGGGAACAACAAAATGTGTTGCAATCAGGACTTTTTTCTTTCTTTCCCGTGCTGGGAATCAAACCCAAGGCCTCATGCTACACTCCCAGCCATAATTAAGAAAATTTATATATATAAAAAGAAAAACAAAGATTCACACATGTTCTTGTTGTTCATTAAAAGAATTGGGGCTTAACATTCACCAGACTGTACTTTTTTTTCAGGTGCAGCTACGATGTATACAAGATATAAAATAGTGGAGAAGCAAAATGAGACCTGCTATTTTGGCACTCCTGTCTTTAACTTGGTGTCATTAGTTCTTGGATTGGTGGGATGTATCGGAATGGGCATTGTAGCCAATTTTCAGGTATGGCCTGAGTGTTTTGGGGTGGTTGACAATGAAAGAGTCCAGGTATGATTAGAGAAGCAGGAAATCAAGAAACCAGGTTGTGCTGGGAGAGCAATGAGATGGTCAATGAACTAGGATTGGGTTGATTGAGTTTTAACATGGTCATCAGTCTTGCTTGGGACTTGGGAGAGAAGGGGTTAATATGTGGACGATAATGAGAGTGTATACCTCAAACAGTGCTGGAGGCTCAACACTGCTCCCTGTTTGCTCATTATTTTTTTAAAGACAGTTCTTTGCTATCTGTATGACTCAGCTTGGTCTGGAACTCAAGGCAGTCCTTTTAATCTCTCCTCTCTCTCTCTCTCTCTCTCTC